TTTTTTTTTGGTGTGCTGGTTAACCAGACTGTCTTGATACAAAGCTCTAGTGTGAAAGACACTTACTATAGACCATAAAGCAGATGAAGGGAAAGCCACAGAAACAGGCTAACCCAAACTGGTAATCTTTATAAAAACAGAACCATAGTTTTTTGGGCTTTTCGGGATCTCTGATTTTTATAACTCTTGCTACATGTGGGAAGGATCTTTCTCTTAATCCCCTCTGAGTATGTGACCTGTTTGCCAAGTTCAGTCTGTAAACTTTTTGACCTTTTCTTTTTTGTAGGTTTCTTCCTTTTTCTACCATAAAAACAGGCATTTCAGCCGTGAAATTACAAATTTGAGTTGTCTGAAGAGCAGGAATCCATGTACTAAGGGATAGATATTTATTTTTCTCCAACTAAGCTATTATGGAATTAAAACATTGTGGGGGAAAAAAATGTAATGGAAATGTTGCTTTTTTTTTTTTTCCCCTCAGTGTGAAAGGTTCAGCTTATTAGTTCAATAAACCTCAGCTTCGTAACTTTATTGGCTGATTATTTAGAGGATTCTGGAGCTTCTCTTGAAGAACCACAGCTGCTGTAGTGTCTAATCCCTCCTTTCACCTCGTCAGGGCTGCGGTCGTGAGGCGCTCCAATACCAGTCCCATGGGCTTTATGAAGATGGGCTCCTGTTCTCCGGTACCTGCAGACACTGCACAGGCTGTTGGGCGCAGGTTGTCCACAGGATCTTCCAGGCCGTATTCTCCTTCACCACTAGGTGAGCCCTTAAAGTCTTAGTAATTTCTGGAGGTTTATGTGCCACAGTAATTCAGAACAGTAATTTGTGCTCAAAATTACCAGAAACTAAAATCTGCCCTGCCAGATCACGTTTGCAGAAATCATTTCTGTTAAATGATTGGCAAAAGGTAACAAAAATTCTGTTTTGCTTTGCTTTCCATTGTAGGTGAGGTATGAAGTATGAATTTGCATTTTGTTTTTTGTTTGCATAGTTGGAACCATACCTGAGCAGCTTGGACACTGCTGTTGCGGGCAGCTTCAAGGGCATGAATCAAGGAGTAGAAACTTTTCAGGTGAGCGACTTCTGATAATTCTGTAGGCAATGAGGGATTCTTTTTTTCGAGATGAAAAAGGAACTCTGCTGATGTCTCTCTTCAAATTGCTGAGCAGGGCTGGGAGCAGATAGATGATAATGAATGGTAGTAACCTATTTCTCAGAATGTGGTTTGGATAGACAGTTCTGTCATGCCAGCCCTCACAAAAGGGAGGGGGAACTGTCAGTGTTCAGCATGCAACATCCTTTGAAAATGCCTGGGATCTGCTGTGAGTGTTGCTAAGCATTCAGTAAGCTTTGCCAATCATAAACTGTGGGCATGCCAGCAGAAATGCAGTTATCACAGAATAGGAGGACTTTGGGATGTATAACTCTGGCTCTATAACTTCAGAGAGACAGAATGAAAGTATGTCCAATTTAACAGCACATTATTATTCTGCTTGTTGCTTAGGTGCAAGTTCTTTAGCTAAAATATTAGGTACACTTTTTTGACATTCTATGAGGTGGTACTGAACTTGCAGTTCCCCCTGCAAGCTTAAACACTTCCCCAAATCATCTGGGATACAAGCACTTCAGAAAATGAAGGCTGTGCTATTTCTAATACCTAGGAATTGTTTCATCCATATAAAATAAGTTCTACAACATGTCTCAATTTGCCATTATAATTCCCATGCTATTGGCAGTTTCATCAGAAAAAGAGGGAAAATAAAGATAATATAAAGAATATTTTTGTTGCGTCTTTTCTTTGGCTGCAGTTCTGTAAACTGTTGATTTTGGTGCCTTTTGCCAGCAATAAACTCACTTGTAACATACCACAGTTTTGTTTTTCTGGCTTTAAGAGTATTAATATTTCATTTCTTCATCATCTTCCCTGCATTCTTTTCCAATTGGACTTGTATTATTTCTTAATTTCAAGTGACTCTGGTGGTTTTCTGTTTGTAGAATACCACAAGTGGCAGCATGTCTGTTTCGAAGCATGTAAATAGGTCTGGGAAGCTGTCTCTGCTGCTGGGTGAGGTGAGGTCATCTGTACTGAGATTTCCCAGGGCCTAGAGTTGTCTCTCTTAATGTAACATCTCAACTAATTGAGTTGCTTTTGCTGCCAGTGGCAGCAGAAGAGAAACTTTGAATTCAGAAGCCTTCCTTGTGATGCTGATGGCAGTGCGAGAGCAACCAGTGGGGTTTAAAACTCATTCCTGAAGCAACAGGTGATGAGGTTCGATGCTATCAGAGGAGTGAAACCAAGATTAAGTAGCTCATATTCTAAACCTAACTAGTAAAATCACAGGCTTAAGAAGGTTGGTGAAAGATGTGGCTTAACAGCTAGGCACTTTATTGAGCAAACTGCTAGAAAATGTTTGAGGTGGTTTTTCCAACATGCTTTTAGGAAATAGAGCCAATCTCAGAAGATTGCCTTAGCCAGCACCTAAGAATATCGCAGATTAATTTACAATGTAGCCTGCACAAAAATAATCTTTGCAGTTTTCTAAAGGGTGAGAGTACTTGTAACCTCCAAGAACTGACACTGAAGTGATGACAAAGGCAAGCTGTGAGCATGAGGCTGGTGTCTTAACTACTGTTGGTAAATTGACACAGTTTCTCATGAAAACATAAAAATGTCACAAATAAGAGACAGTTTAATCAACTTTCATATTCCTTATATTGAAAAGGGATTGATACTTCTTAGCAAATGAGATGATGTTAGGAAATCTCTCCAAAGCCCCCACTTTAAATGTCTCTTGAGAGCTCTTTTGTTTCCATTTGCCTCGGGAGAAACTTTATACTCAAACTGCAGCTTAGGGACTTATTTTGTACATAATGAGCTTTTGAGAAATAGTCCTTCTGACAGGAGAAAACATGAATGACTCCAAATTAAAGATCCTGAACCATTTCATCTGAATAATATGGTTCTTTTAGTATCTACTTTTCTTGCAGAACGATGAGATGAGCTGCCTTTTGTGGCTGTGAACCAAGTCATTACATTATGTAACATGCAATGTTGCATTTGCTGTGCTGTTCGCAAGGTTGTGATGCCAGTACTTGACAATCTCTCTACCTCTCTTCAACCTAGAGGTTTGGCTGCTGCAGTTGAAATTCAAGTGTTGGCTATGCCATTCCTGCCAAATCCAAACACCTTATTTGTCTTGGTGCAGCTTGCCAAACATACTGGGGCTGCCAGTACAGCTGTCACCTTGTGAAATCTTGCCTGTAGGCAGCTCGAACACATGTATCATCTAATCTGTGTGTGTAGTCCGAGTCAAAAAAAAAAAAAAAAAAAAAAAAAGTAAGTATATTCTCTTTGTCTTCTAGCCAACTGGTGAAGAAATCCTGCCTCTTCTCAGATTGCCATCAATTTCTTACGTTTTGAGTTGCACCGATACGTTTTCAAGCACTGCAATTAGAATTTTATCTGTCTGTTGTCCCTCCAGGTTCTCCGATAGCACCGTCTCAGTCTCCACAGTCACTTTTGATGGGTCCCCATCCTAGGCTGGGTAGGGATATGGCCACTCGCCACAACCAAGCAGGCCAGGCAGCCTGGGGACGTCACCTACCAAACACATGGGATCGTCACCTCGGAGCTCAGACTGGCTGTTCAAAACTCCATTGCCCACAATCATTGGCTCTCCTACTAAGGTTTGTTAAGTTGCACGCTGTTTATAAAATGTGAAATGTCAACATGTTGTCCTGAAACTATCCGCAGGAAGACTTTGGGGTGCTAACCTTGATTTTGGTCTATTCTTGGCCTTTGATTCTTTAAGGCAACAGCTCCTTTCAAAATACCGAAAACTCAAGCGTCCTCCAACCTGCTAGCCCTGGCGAGCCGCCAGGGCCCTGTAGATGCCTCTTTGCAGCCTAAAGACATTGTTGACCCAAGAGACTTCACCCACTTCCACTCCACGCCAGGGAATGAGAAGCAGGCAGCAGAACAGCACAGCAAAGCTGCGTTTGGCAGGTAGGCACTACAACACCTGCAACCTATAGAGCTGCATAGGTGACTTGGCAGAAGGTTCCTTGCACCCAGCAGTTTGGAGAAGCAGAGCATGCACAAAGTGGGCTCTGTCGGGTCTACAACTCCTGAGGAGATGTTGAGGTTTAGTGTGTACAACAGAAACTTTCTGTACTGTGTGTAAATATAGCATGGACTTCCTGCAGCAGTACATGGTGCTGTCTAGTTCCGTTTGCTTTTATTATCTGACTATGGGATTCATACTGCCTTCGTGAAGCCTTTTCAGTTCAAAATCTCTATGACAAAAATTGGAATATAACTTTTGAAGGGAAAATTCATAAAACTCTTTTCACTTAGTCGTATTCCAGTAGGTCTGTGGTGAACAGTGAGATTTGTGAACTTATTTTGTTGAAGAACTATTTGTAAGAAATACCAATAATTTGCAAGTTAGCCTCAGCTGCAAGTTAGATTTACTGTAAGAATTTTGTTGTGAATTCATATTTTTTTCTGTCCAGATCAGTCAGTACGGGAAAGCTATCGGATCAACAAGTAAAGACTACCCTTGGTGGCCAGTTGTATCAAGGCAGTACAGACAGCCTCAATACAGAGCGACCTATGGATACAGGTAACGCGCAGATGATGCATTCGAGTTGTCCTTGTGTGTATATGCAGTGCCAACTAGATAGCTCTGTTTCCAAGTTTCATAAATAGGCCCAACAACTTTTAGCACTGCTGTAATCAGTGAAGGAGACTTTTTTTGGATGGGGGGCGAGGGAAATTGCCTTAAAAATATCTATTACTGGATTCGCTAAACGGTAGTATTACAGCTGCTTATGCTGGTTAGGCATTAAAAAAAAAAAAAAAAGCCCTCGGGGCGGAACACCCTTTTTTTTTTTTTTTTGGCTACAAAGTTGCTGGATGTAACTGCTAATTTGTGTGATCTGGTCATATGTAAATAAGGTGTAATTTAATTATTTTTTTTTTCTCCCAGCTCCTGCAGGGGCCTGTGGCATTGCAATGGCACCTCCTTCCATGGGGAGCGGGGCAAGTTCTCGGGCTGTCATGTTCACTGTCGGGTCCCCTCCGAGCAGCACCACCCCTCCTACTTGCACCCATATGATCCTCAGGACGAGAACCACCTCGGGTAAGGCTTCCCTGGCACTTCGGGATTGCTGTCACATGTAATATTCAACCTTCCCCACTTCTTGGGACAGTAACCTGCTTACTGCCTAGTGCAGTAGGTCCTCTAAGCCATACAAGAAAAAGTGCCGTGTAAATGATGATGCATACCACATTTTTTATCTGCCTTTTCTCCTAAAGAGAGGCCTGGAGCCACCAATTTACCATTCAGTCATGTGCAAACCTGTTGTATGCAGTTTTACTCCACCCTAGGGTGTTCTGACAGCATCTGGCTGTGGTGGAGAGAAAATACTAGTTTTCCTTGATTCTGCATTTTTACCCACTGCTGTGCGGTGTACAAGAAACAACACCTGGGTGTGAGCTTGACTGCATTTCCAGCACACTTTGACTGTTGCCAGAGATGGCAACATAAAGGCCTTCAACTGTTGAAGGGGAATAGGAGTGTAAATCTGCAGCAGTTTGCACAACCTTCGCTTTGTACTATGAGATGTCTGCCTTGGAAACCTTGTCATTTGCTCTCCAGTGCCTGTTATATAAATCATCACTGTTCATTAAGGTGCAGCCTTTGCGTTCTCTACAGAGTAATGCAAGGAACAATGAGGAGAACCTCACAAGAGTTAATCTGTGGTGGCTACTAATTTGTCATTTGCTGTCATCTGCAGCCCCAGAGCTGTGAGATGGAACAACCGATTAGACTGAATGTGTGTGTTATTTTTCTTGTAGTTGGATCAAACAGTTCTGGAGGGTCTCTCTGCTCTACTAGTGGCCGTGTATATATGGGCTCCCCTCCTGGTATTTATATGGGTTCTTCTCCTCCGGGGGCCGAGGCAGCTCCGAGTCTGAAGTACATGCCTTATGGTACTTCGCCTCCCAGCTTAGAGGGCTTTATCACTTTTGAAGCTCCTGAATTGCCTGAGGAAACTTTAATGGAGGTATAGAAAAATAATTTAATGTTTTATAATGTATAATGCTACTAAAAGAGACGTGGTACAAACAGGACTGCTTGGTGTACTTGGTAGTTTCCTCTTCACTATCCCATGTTCCTTCTTAAAACCTTGAAAATGTTCCTTTATCAATTGTGGTCATTTCTGGTAGTTCTTCCTGGTGTTTCATGTACTTGGATATGTAACATGACTGTGTGTCCACCAGAGCCTCCCAAAAATGCCTCTGTTTTAATGCCAAGTCTCTGGACATGGGTGCTGGCAGTAGCAGTGTCTTCATGTGCATGGGTTTTTAACCTGCTTCAGAGTCAGCAGATGACATTAAATTCTACCTGTGGGAAGTGTGTTCTGTATTTTTCTTAAAGTGGAGGAGTGATACTTTAAAACCGGGGTGCTCTTTCACCAGAATGCTGTCCTTGGACTGTAACTGTCTCAAGGCAGACTGTTCTGTTTTCCCATTCACATCTTGCTGGCAGGTGCTTGGGTGTATATCAGATATGTTACATTGTGAATGTTTGACAGTATATTCTTCCCACAGATAGTTTTTAAAAACTATTTAGACCTTGTTGCTGATGAGAAGGTATTTAAGTATTGCTAAGAAGTACTTGACTAGTTTTGAAGTCTATTTTTGAACAGAAACTGTGCGTATCTCTTCTGGTCACTCACAAGGCGCGAGTTGTTTGCTCCAAGAGAAGTGACTTTTAAATTGTGAACTTTGGCAACAGCCACTTTTAACAAAATGTAACTTGAGATCTGAGTGTAGTTTGGCGTGAAGCTTTAAATCAGTTGTCTTGTAGGTATCAGGTCCATTATATAATAAAAGCCAAATGTTCCTCCTGGCTTCTCATACAAGTGCCAAGCATACTCTTGAGTTGCTGATAATGTAATAATAAAATGTCCCTCTTGTAATTGCTTTAGTATCTCAGGTTTCAACAAACAATTCCGTATCCAAATTCCTTTGGTTTTTGTCAAACGAATCTGAAGTATAAGCTGCAATATCTTGAAATCATTAAGAAAGAAAAAAACAAGCTAATGTCTGCTAATCCTTCTGGACCCACTTGGTCCTGTAGTCCCTAGTGTTTGCTCTATTTCTGTGTGATTTCTGCATAGAGTTGACATGATGATTTCTCAGTAAGTGAGTAGCAAGAATTCTATGTGTACTGGTTTGCCTCATGGTTTATAATGGTTAAACTGTCTTTTTTTCTCCCTCTGACAGAGAGAACATACGGACACACTGCGTCACCTAAACATGATGCTGACATTTACAGAATGTGTCCTGGATCTGACAGCCGTGCGAGGAGGGAACCCAGACCTGTGCACTTCGGCAGTTTCCCTGTACCAAATCCAAGAGAGCATAGTTGTGGATCAGATCAGCCAGCTAAGCAAGGAGTGGGGGTGAGTGTGTGGTCAAACAGCATCCAGAGAATAAGTGAATATCAAATGCATCAAAAATATAATCAGTCAAACTGTGTCTTCACTTTATTGCAACCAACTACTTTACTGTAGAGAACATTTTATAGGAATATGCTCTGACAACTGAAAAGAGACCAGAAAGTAAAGGGTAGAGATAAGGACAGAGGATGCCTTTCATTTGCTGGAAGGTAAATAAGAGGGCAATGTTTTCTGGCCTGCTACTTGAATTGGGGAAAATAAGTTGCAGGCTTGAGGTATGGCAGAGTATTGCCATGCCTAGAGATCTGTGCAGCAGCTTCAGTGAGATCTGTCTTACTGGTGACCAGGCTGGAACAGCAGCACGAGGGTGGAAGTCAGATGGGGAGTCAAATTTGACCTTTTTTCAGTGGTACCAACCAGCCTGAATACAGAATCAGAAATAGGGGGAAATAAGAGAAATTAGGAGTGGTGGGAAAGGACAGTTCTATTTCCTCCCTTCTTCCTGAAAAAGAAGCTGCAAAGTGTGTTTGTGTCCCCGACCCTGAGAATTCCAGGGCACAGGAAATGACGCCGCTGGGAAGCACACGAGTGCCAGGACGTTGACCTCGGGCAGTCGCTCCCCATAAATAAGCATTCCATTCAAAAATGTGTACACATTAAAGCAGTTTGTGTTTACTGCTGCACCTACCAGATGAGCAGATGGACTCTCAACCCATGTCAGGGTGCTTAAGTGAGGGAAAGGTTGGCTTGTGTTTTAGACATGTCTTCCCTTTCCGCTGCTGGTGTGTCCTGTGTATGTTGTGATTAAAAATAGTGTCTGCCCAAAGCTGGAATGTGTTCCAAAAACGTTTTTTGATGCATAATTATTTTTTCCCAGACAAGTAGAGCAGCTGGTGTTGTATATGAAAGCTGCCCAGCTACTAGCATCTTCTCTGCATCTTGCCAAAGCACAGGTCAAGTCGGGGAAACTGAATCCATCCACTGCTGTTAAGCAAGGTAAATGCAATATAATCTAATTTGCTTTATTTGTGCATTTTCTTTAGTGATACTTCACTAAAAAGGCCTAAACTGCAACACTTATGTTTACTTCGTTTGACACAAGAGAACTGTAAACCCATGCAACTGCATGATTTGGATGACAAAAAGAATGCACTTAAGTACTTTCTAAAAAGTTCATGTTAATGTGAGGTAGAAACGAATTGGTACGTTCTTTCATGAAGTGTCTGAGTAAATAAACATTAAAAGCATAATTCTAAACACTTTGCTAATGCTGGAAGAAAGCTGTACTTAGGTTATGTTTTAAATCTCTTAACTTTTTTTTTCCAGTTGTGAAAAGCCTCAATGAGAGATACAAATTCTGTATTGGTATGTGCAAGAAACTAACAGAAAAGTTGAATCGTTTCTTCTCGGATAAGCAAAGGTTCATTGATGAAATCAACAGTGTAACTGCAGAGAAACTCATCTATAACTGTGCTGTAGAAATGGTAAGTCACTCCTGTTGCTTAGATAAGATAATTGGCCTAGGTAATACATCGCCCACTCTCATACCCCTTCAGCATGACCAGCAAGCAGTGTGCATCTCTCCAGAATTTTATTCAGGGTAATTTTTGCTAGTCTTTCATTCTTCTTCCCACTCTGCGGCTAAAGTTCCTGGCAGATGCTGTTCCTCAGAGATGTTCCCTCCACATCAACACATTTGCTGCATAAACATTAGGAAATGACCTCCTAAGCCACAGTCTCTAGCAGAACTCTGTGTGCTCAAGCCCTGTGCAGTAACGTTTGCTAAAGTGTAGAAACAACACGGTAGCTTCCTCAATCCCACAGTCCTATTTGAGGAACATCAGCCTGTCCAATACAAAACAGAAACGGTGCACAACAGGCAGGAGAAGTGTCCGACAAAACATCTTGGTCACACATGTGTAACCTGTCTTCACAAGAGGATGTAGGCATGAGAACAAGCATGTTCATTCATGCCTTGTTGTAATTTCAAAATATAATACAAATTTCAACATATAAACAACAGATTAAAGTGTTTTATAACTTACATGTGCAGAACGTCCTGAGCTAATGCAGCAGAGGGACTATATTCTCTTGAACTTTGTTTTGTTGTCTTACTGCCATAAAAAGATCAGCTTAGTTAAAGTACAAAACTAGCTTCTTAATGACAGTTTTAAATCATTCATTTTGCATTTCAATATTTGCTCAAAGCGATTTATGTAACTCAGTCTACTGAATGGTTGCAGGTTCAGTCAGCAGCTCTGGATGAGATGTTTCAGCAAACTGAAGATATTACATATCGATACCACAAAGCAGCCTTGCTGCTGGAAGGACTGACTAAAATACTGCAGGACCCTGCAGATATAGAAAATGTACACAAATGTAAGTTTAGGTTGAATAATGAAAGTACTGAAAACTCCATGCTGTTAATGAATTAAAAATTAATCTGTTTTTAACCTCTGCTTTCAGATAAATCTAGCATCGAGCGAAGGCTTTCTGCACTTTGCTATAGCACAGTGGCTGTGTATGAGCAGTAGGAATATCCCAAGGACCAGATGGTGTGAACATAAGGGACCACATCAGTGATACTGCACTTTTTTTCACTACAGCTTAATTGTTGTCCTTGTTCTGCCCCATGTGGAAGATAATTATTACATTTCTGTGGTGACTACCAAAGAAACAGCAGCATATTCAAAGAAGAGAAATTCCAAAAGTACACTTGTAGAAAACCTGCCTTACTGATCCAGCAGCTTTTTTTTTTCCCCTAGCAGCAAAATTTAAGAGCATCTGTTTTCACATTTCATGCTGATTCTTGTGCGTGTGCTTTGACTTGAATGACAGGGGCTCTTTCCTCGTGAGGTATATAGAGTGGATCCTTCTGCATCAGGTACAAAAAGACATTTCCCTCTGAAGATTCCCTCAGTTCTTTGTGGAAATATTTTTTAATTCTCATTAAGAGGCGGCTGAGTGAATTTGGGGAACCCGAACCATGTGCAAGTGCTGTTGGCACTTTTGGAGTTAAGCTGGCTTGGATCTGGGCTCATATATGGCAAACTTGGCTCAGCTTGACATGCGAGGGGATGGTAAGGAAGCACTTTTTGACATGGTGGAAATTTGGTAATGGAAGAAAATGCGCTCCATGTGTGCAGAATCCCAGTGGGTTTTCAGCTGATGTGGATACAGCTTGATCTTCTTCCAAAACACTGTTTTGCACTAATTTACTAAAGCAACTGTATATTCATTTTTGAAGAACTATATAAAAGAAAAAGAAGGCACAATGGACTTGGCTGAATTTCATTTCAGTGTATATAAAATTCTTCTAAGAATTTCAAATGTAGCTTCTAGAAGACTTTCAGACAAACTAAAAACTTGTATTCATGTGAACCTTTCCATTTTATACCTATTTGTCTAATACTTGAGTAACTACTGCTCTGGACTTTCTCAGTAATAGAAATGCTTTGAGTTGCTGGTTGTTTGCTTCTTATATAGATTTGGTTGCATCTTTTGTTGTGCATGCGATATGTGCATTGATGCCTGCAGTCTCTAGGGTGTAATGACAGTTCTGTAGTTCGTTGCTTGGGCAGTATTACAACAAATACTGTAAAATGAGAGGTTCTGCAAGGAGCCGTATAAAAACAGGAGAGAAAAAAGGGATTTGGGATGCTGATACATTGACGTAGAATTTCTACGTATGGTGTGTGAGAAATAGGGATCGTTTTGTGTGCATTTTGGAGGAGAGGTGGGAAGCTTCATTTAGCCTTACAGGCATTATCGTTTCAAGCATCCCATGAGATCATCAGGACAGTTTTGCAAAGTATTTAGGCAGATCAGCTTCTCTGGAAATGGTTCCTATACTTTATTTTTGGGACTCTTTTGTTACTCAACTGCTTGAATACTTGAATAAACCATTCTCCAGGACAAAATCATTTAAATCCTCTTAAACACAGTGGTCTGAACTATTTGACAAAACTGTACAGGGCTTACACATCAAAATATCGTTTCAGTGTTCGGATAACCATGTGTTTCCTTTACTTTGACAGAGTAATGTACTTTTTACCTTATTTATCTGTATGAAATTCCAACAGTTAATTTGAAATTGTTTATATAATGTTTGTACTTTTAAGTCTTTAATACGGTGTTTCTACCTCTCCTTTGTAATTGCATGCATTATTCTTGAAACTAGGTAATAACTCACTGAACTGTTGCGTAATAGCCTTTTTATTATGGCCTGTATAAATGTATATTAAGGTAAAATAAATACTGACACTAGAAGTGTTTCTATGGTAAAACTGAGCTTGTTTCTGTCTGTAACCAAAGGGCAATTGTGTTAACTTAAAAAACAAAACCCTCTTCATTTGCCTGTTTAAATTAGTTGTTGAATGTTTCCTGGAGACTAAGTCTGCTGCTGGTGAGGAGATGCTCTGCTTATCCCATCGGGGCAGGAGGGGCAGCTCGCTTGAATTCCTGGTAAATTCATTCTCCAGCACAAAGTGTCCCTGTGCTTGTTTTCCTTCCCGTTAGGAAGGCAGTTTCTCCTGCCCGTTTTGTTTTGCACTTGGATCTGAAAGCAGAGTGTGCAGGTTCCTGGGTAACAGCTGCACATTCCTTCAGCGAGGTGCTGATTTGGTGCCTCCAGCAAAGAGGAGCTGTGGTGGCTGCCAAAACAGCACAGACAGCTGATGGACAAACAAAACCTGGCAGCACGTTACAATTTCTGTTCAAGTCTTACAAAAAAACAAGCTTTGTCCACCCTGTAGCTAGTTATCAGCTGAGAGGTGTGCTGGGAGAGCTGTTCATGTGGCAGTTGTTCTCTTAGCTCTACTATTATTATTATTATTATTATTTAAATCTGTTATTTAAAAAAAAAAGTCTGTGCTTGTGACTGGCAGATCATGATGCAGAGGATGAGGAAGGTGTGAGCAGGGAATGCTAATGAAATGTCTGAGCACGAATCTATGAACAAAGCAAAAGCCTGAATGTGCAAGTCTGGGAGATAGGGTGTTTTTCCCAAGAACTCACTTTTTATTTTCCCCTCTCTTTCTCCAGGGTTCAAGCTCTTTCTCCCCCTGCCAGTGAGACTACAGCTGCACAAACAGGAGGAGAAGAAAAGGGCTATTCTTGATGGCTGTTTTCAGGAGGAGGAGACCAGTGTTCATGGCCCGTCTTTCTGCATAAACTCACTTTGCAAAGGTCCTGAAGCTGTCCTCTGTCTCCAGCTCTCTGCACAGAGCAGCAGGTGCTTGTTTCTACCAAATGCTTTTCAGCCTCTTGAAAGAGAATTTGAAAGGAAAAAAAAAATAATGTAGTGCTTCTCTAACTACACTCTGTAGCATCTCTTCAAGAGCACTGTGCCCTGTCCTCCTGTGTTTTCACTCTCTCTATAGCATATGATGTCACCAAGGAATCTGAAACACTTGGATTCTGACATTTGCTGTTAGGAGTTTTTTGTTTTGTTTTAGCAAGGAGTTAAATTCTCAGTCCTTCCTCTGATACAGACGATAAAATGCAGTCAACTTGCAGCTAAAGTCTTCTGTGTTACTCTGAGAAGTGTTTTTCAGTTAATGCAAGTTGTTCCTTGCATTTACTAGCAAGAAGCAACGCAGAAGCTACTCCCTTCGACGGCAACACCAAGGTATGACCGTGACCCCTCTGGGTTCAGAGCTGGCACCTCATGCTGTGCGGGTATCGGGGGGCTGTGCAGCAGGAAAATCCTCAGGCTGAAGGGGAGAAATTTCCACCCAGCAGAGCAGATTGTGGAAAAAGGTAAAAACAATTTCCCTGCTCTGCAAAACATCCCTTTGGTCCTCCTACTCCTTCTCTCCCTATGTCTTAGCAAGTGCAAACCAGGTCCTGCTCGTGTATTGCTGGGCCGGGGCTCCTCCAAGCCCAGGCTGCTTTTCCTCACGTGCTCCCTGCCACGTGCCAGGGGCAGCAGTTGCTCTTGTCCTTCTTTTCTGCAGTGCTCTGTCTACTGCCCAGCTTTGTGCAATAACTCATGTGATGTTGACATGCTTGTGCTCAATCCATGGCTTGTGGGCTGACAGCAAGGTCAGCTCCCCTCTGAAAAGGCAATTTTGGTAGTTTGGAATAACACAAAGACCATGGGCAGCAGCAGAGTGGGCCAGTCTGCCTCCCCCCAGAATCTCTGGGGAGCATTTCTAGGGTCATGCTGTGAGCATGGGGTGAATGAGCACAGATCTGGGGGGATTTAGTGCATTTTGAGGTGCAGAGTGTTACCAGTAATGGCATTGCCTTTTTCAGGGTGTTTTGGGAGCCTGGGCTTTGACCTGCACATGCAGCCAACTTGTTCTTAAGCAGCCCCCTGGCATGCTCAAGAGAATGAGCTGGGGCAGGACCCAGCGCCTTCTCCTGCGCTTGTGGCCCCCGTTTCCCACACAGGCGCTGTATCAAGGTGTATTTGCACACCCCCGTCCAAGCAGTGGAAGTTATTTAAGGTCTCACTGTGTCCAGAGCAGGGAGGTCGCCTCAGTGCTGGGGCAGGATCACACACTGGGCCGAGGCGCTGGCAGGGCCTTTGTCCCCCAGGGAGGCAGGGGGCAAAGTGCCACTGCTGGCACCCGCCCTTGGGGACTCTGTCCCAAGCCCGCGTTGCAGCCAGGCCTCGGTGCAGGCAGCGGTGCAGGTAGGAGGAGCGCGTCCCCCCGCAGGCCGGGGCTCTGGGGGGTGGCGTGTGGGCAGCTCGGTGT